GTCGTCGATTTTGGACCAGGATTGTTAACAACGTAAGCTACAGTCATTTTGCAGATATACGTATAGTTTCCAGTTTCCACATTAACGGCCGAAYCATCTTCATTTTTGCCTTGTCTGGCAACATCTTTGATAGTGAATTCTGCAAAGCCATCTTTGCCTYCCACTACTCCCTTTTCAAAACGCAGCGAGAATAATGAATCATCAGTCTTAACTTGCTCACCAGCAAATAAATATTCTCCAATTTYTTTTTYCGTAGCAAGTTGCTTTCCGAATTCGTACCGATTGATGACGAGCCCGTTTATTATTTCGTCTTTATTCTCGTTCGTGTTCCTTTGTAATGACCATTTCCATGTCATCGTCATCGATTTTTTATCCGGGTATATAATTATCGTCTCTGGATCTGGAAAAGCTTTCCAATTGTAAGCACCTAAAGGAAGAAAATGCGTTTGTATCGTAACCAAAGATCCTCACATATAATGAGGCATCATCAAGGGAAGGCGTCTTCGCAAACTGAAATTGTAACTTACTTGCAAACGGAAAAGTCGCTGCAAAGAATAACAATACAGCCACTCCACCAGACATAGTTCTTCCTGTCGACTGTTTTCTTTAAAGACTTAAAATGAACGATCGCAACGACCAAAAATGAAACAAATTCGTTCAAGAACCTTGATATCCGCTTCGCTTGATAGGCCGCTTTATCTGACATCAAACATTCCAAAGATTTCACTCACCAAGCCTGCGCASTAGGGACGTAGAGTGTTTTACAAGCGTATCTGTTGCCTAGCAACCATTGTTCTAGCGTCTACGCACAATAGCTGTCATGGTCGAAATGTTTTATTAAGCGTCATGCGTATAAAATTTACATATTATGAGTCAAATCTATAAGTATTATTTCGTGTTAGGTYACTGTATTTTTAGAAAAAAAGGACAATTTAATCACAGGAAATTGCGCTCTGAAGAAAATGTCAGAGAAATTTGTTTAAATTGGAAACATTCGCCTTATTCAGGGCGACAATCGATCATGACGAAGTTTGTTTATATTTTGCACATTTTTTCAAGATTTAACGATATCCTTATAAAATACTGCACGTATTTGATAAATAGTTGATTGTCAATGTTCGTTGATATCATACCAAACCCTTAACTACTTGAGATTGTTTCGAACTTGCTGGACTTCTTTAGCTATGAGACATTACGTTGTGTAATAGTATTTGCATATAAGTTTTATCCAGTCAGGCGAAACCGAATGTACCAACGGATAGACTATCTGAAGCGGTTAGAGAAAACACCAGTTTCGAAGTGCGCTTCTTTCTACTTGTGAAACACCATCTAGATTTTTATAAAAAGAATTATAATTTCAGCCTTTATATATGGGTTACAACTTGTTGCATAATCAAAGTGAGATAAGGAGCGAAAAATTAATGACGAAAGCGGAATAAATGATCGCATGCCTATTACAAGTCAGACCCGGGGTCTTCGACCGAATGGCGCCAGTGGTATAGCAAAAAAAAAAAAAAGAAAGGGAAAAATATCAAGGGGCGAAGAACAGTACTGAAAATTGAATTTCTTTAATATTTCTAAATACAGGTCCCTGAGCCCCCTGGCCACTCCCTAATCCCCCCTCCTCACTACACTAATAAAATAATGCCCTCCCTCCTTAAATTTATGATCTCTTTGTACAGCTACATTTATGGACCATTTATGGACCTCTTGCCATCTCAGATAATCTTGAAAGAACCATTTGTCAATTTTATAAAAGCTGAACCCTTTTTGATACTAATTTTGTAAGAGGTGCAAATCTGATGAATAAAACATTGTTGGCATATCAGCAGGTCCATCCTCAGGAACCCAGGGGTAATCTTCTGTCGTTCGTTCCTCAACGAACGACAGAAGATTACCCCTGGGTTCCCGAGGATGCAGGAGGTCAATCATGAGATAATTTCCCCCCTTTATCATGACCTCCTCTACAACAAGAATAGATGCTTGATCACATCTATTACATCTAATTTTCAGGCTTCTTTTAAGGGAATGGTACAAAATGAAAATAGCAATAGAAGATTCCAGTTTCCTTTCATAATTTTAAGGAAACTAGATGCTCACAGAATCRTTTAAATGGCCTAGCCATAAAAAATACGACCTTCCAACATCCCCTAGTGACAACCACATAGGCTAKTTGAGGTATATTGTATGAAACAGCTGGTTTTAGTCAGTTAGGAGTCAACAGGAGAGAATTTTTTTCTTGACCATACTGTAGGGTAAAAAGCAGGAAGCAGAAAAATTAATTATTGTAGTTCAAAGTTAAAAAAAAATATATTGTGAATCATTTCAATCTACTCTTCCAATCAAAACGCATTCAAACTTAGATTTATCTTTGACAGGGTCATCTGACCTGTGTACTGCCATCAATAGGTTTATTTTAGTTACAAAGACTAGTCAGAACAACTATTCAGAACAACTTAAATACAACATCATTTTTTATTATCAATTAGAATATTGATTTGCAATAATAGATTGATAGCAGCTTAATTGTACCATGATCGGCCTACTTCGCACCATGTGGAGCATAAGGTCTCAAATATAACTAAATTGTATATTTTCTACACTAGTTGACATATAGTTTTACATTAATGACATCAATTTATTGCAATCTTTACTTAATTTAATGAATATATGGTACATGTTAATAACACTGATTATATATATACAGAGCTTTTTGTAAAATTCTGTAAAAGTTAAGAATATTTATATCAATATACAGATATAAAGGAGCATTTCCACTGAAAAAGTGGCTAAAATAGATCCACAAAATATWTTTTTTTTGTTCACATTGGATAATTACGTTATAGTACTGGCACACCAGTGCACCAGATTAAATGCAAAATAAATTAATAAAGCACTGATAAGATACAAAAACAGTTATCTTGCATAGATGTCCCAAGCAAAAACATGGTGGGAACAAAAGAAAAGTGCATACTAAAATAGTCACTAGGAATGACATGTTGCCTTATATACATTGTTTTAGCTTAGAAAAAAACTAAAAAGTTAATATTAAATATACAAATTTTACAAAATGATTTATGTTAAGAATATATGACATTTCCAACATTAGCTCACACCCTGCGATCAAATCCACAACTCATCACTTTTATTCCATTGCAATTGTACGGCATTTCGGTTTGGTTGGCTAGGTCTTGGTTCAGCATAGCCAGTGGAATTATACTGCGGTGGAAGGTCTCGGATGTTTGCATAACCATCCTGTGAATTTAAGACAGCACATTTAAGCAAATTGGCATTGAACATAGTAAGATGAAAATGTCAATGATAAAACAAAATGAAGATGTATGACAAATGGGGGGAGGGCTGAACTTGGTAAAATTGTCACCCCACCTCAACTGTATAATGTATCTGATAATAAATTTTGGCATCAAATTTGTGTAAATCTTTAATCGAAGGTGCGTGAAAGCAAGAAAAGATAATTATATTAAAAAAATCCCGAAAATGTTAATATTTCCTTGCCTCTATTATGTACATGCGTATATGCGTTAGGACACTGCAATCCGGCCTGWGGTTGGTTTATTTGTTTCTTCAAGAGCCGTTATGAACTACTCTAAGTCACGGAAATATACACACGTACCGTAATTACTCGAATAAGCGCCCTGGCGCTTATTTAATTTCTTAGATGGGGAGCTTATCCCCCCCTCCCCACTCCCATATACTTTATGACCAGTCCCTTACCACCCATGCTCCTCGTTTTGTAAATCTATATACATTCAAATGAGATTGATTCAGATCRAATTTCTTCTTTTCATTGATAAAAAGTTTCAAATAACATTTAAAAACCTTGAAAAAAATATAAATAAATAAAAAAAAAAACAAATATTTACTCACATTAGGACCTTTGTGGTAGCTTAGATCTCCATAAGGCTGTAACTTGAGAGGAGCACCTGCTGGTTGGCTTTTACCATCTACGTAGTATTGTTTCTGAGGAGCTGAAACAGAATCATGAAATATTCCACTAAGACAATTTTAAAAAAAAAAATATAAAGAAAAAAAGACCAAAAATTTGCATTATTTAGATCTTGTTAAAACTTGTTAAAAAATTAACTAAAAGATATCCCCTCACTTATCAGGGTTGGATTCAGGGGGTGTCAGAGGGACTGGTTCCTTTGGTAAAGAAATGGTTTAATATTGTCATACAGACAATATTCATATGACCTTCATAATTCAGACAGACAAACACTAAATTTATAGATGATGTGCTACCACCATGTTAAAAATGTCTGGATTTGCCCATGTTTAATATTTATCACATTATAAATACAAAAAAATCTCAGSTAAAAAGATTAAAGGAATCTAAAAGAAAACCTTTCAACAGTGCACCAGGAACCTTCAGTAAGACCATGCATTAATCACACATAGACAAAGTCACATGACATCAAAACAACTGCTCACCAGGCCTTTTTCTTGTCATCATCCACACCACAACAGCAACAATTAGAATAAGTAAGACGACTGCCAACACTGCAACAAGGGCAATAATGGAAGTAGTTGACAATCCACCTTCATCACTGGTTCTTTTGCCAGAATCTGGACCATCAGAAGGATTTATAGATGTTTTTTCTGTTGGCTTTGTTGATTTTGTTGGAACTAAAAGAAAATATGTGTGTTAATGAACTGATCGTATAATGTTCACTTCAACAATTTTTGAACTAATAACAGTTTAAATGGTCATCATTCTAAAACTATATAGCTGATTCACAAAACAAGACAAAAGATAAGAATGTGTTATTATATAATTAAACTTACGGTTAGTAGGACTAACAAAAAATTTCTTCACAGCTTGGTTTGCAAATGTACCAGTCTTAATTGCATCTTCTAAGGGTTTCCTTGGCTCAYTGAGCCCAGTTGGATATGTGATCTTTATATTTGCAACAACACTTCCTCTCCTGATAAAACATGAATTAAAGATAATTTTACAAGTTGAAAACCAAAATGTATATTAAATTAACCCTCAATAAGCCATACCCTCCCATACCTGAAGCCTTGTACCCGACAAGAATAGACTTGTTTTGTACGTTTCAAGTAGACCAATAAGCACTGTAATTATAAATTCAAGTTAGTAAAATTAAAAAGGATATATACAGCTATTTCAAAAAACGTTGTCGGGGAGAACGGTGAACAGTGATTGTTGAAGGGAGATTGCACGACCGACAGGAACTATGGTTACACAGTTTTGATAAACACTTTCACTTATTCGATTCACATTACATAGAAATGGAGACTAAATGAAGCCAATGTTTACCACAGACCATCTTACAGTACAAATCAGTTGTTATTGCCTTTCACCTAGCAAAACCCATGGCTACTTTCGTTCGTGCAATCGCCGTTCGACAATTGACATTCGCCAGTTTATC